CATTCAACGCCAGTTGAAGATACGGACCATGAATCATTATAAATTGGAGCAATTTTCATAAGAATTACAAAGAGAGGAATTATAAAAGAGTCGCTTTGACTCCTCCGGTCCCAGTTCTACTTTTAATCCTTAAAGGGGAATTACATACCGTAAGGCCGTTTTCAAGGCTACTTTTACGAATTTTTTAACAGGAACGGTAAGATTAATGGACTTTAAATTTTCACAGTATATTTATTACTGTTCAAAGTATAAAATAAATTTTATTGAATCACAAGTACTGATCCAGTTTATAATTATAGATAAAAATGAAGTCATTCGTTTGCGAGCTTTATGTTTGCTATCGACATAATTCCGGGCCTCTCACTACTCTGAAACCAAGAAATGAGAAAGATTTTCAAAATATACGGTTGCCATTATAGGCCGTACTAAATTGAAGGCAGTGAAGCCAAGTTTGGGAAAATAATGACTGTACAAAAAAAAGTATCGAAAATGAAACATTTTCAATTTGTAATTATGTTTAAAAAAATAAATAAAATAAAATATAACTGTGTTCGAGGTAGGAGCGAAAACCACATGTCTACTGTATATTGTGTAAAAATTTCATGTCATTCGGTTCAGTAATTTTTGCATAATCCTGTTGACAGTTTAAGAAAATGGTGTTTCCAGATAAACATAAATAAAATTATGTTTAAAAAAATTTAAAGTTTTATGTGTACTTTCCATATAGATAGTAACAAATTTATTTTATACTTTGAATATTTTATACATACTATTTATACATTATTACTATTTTTTATATATACTATTTTATACATTAATGAATAAATTGTAAAAATTTCAAGTCCATTGATCCCACCATTTCCGTTAAAATATTCGTGCAAATAGCCTTGAAAACGGCCTGCTCCGCATGTAATTCCCCCCTTAAAGGCTGTCATTAAAGAAAATCAGGCTAATGAAATTTCACCCCAGTATATCTCTTTTTTTATTTTAGAAATAAAAAACCAACGCAATTAAATGCTTCGTTGTTATCGAATGTTGGATGAAAAATAGAAAAGTTACTCGCAGCGGATAATTTAACGTTAAATATGACCAAGACAAAATCGGGTGAAACTTCAACCGCGTAATAGCCTTTGAGGGTGAAGACGGACCAAGACCCTCTCTCGTGAGCCGCATAAGACGCGCGATGCTTTTCGCCGCGGAAAACTTCGAGAGACCGGCATCTAGGTTAGCTCCGGTGACACCCACCTCCCGCATGGCGACGACACGGAGGCCGCGGGTAGTAATAAATCGGACAGTCCGCGCGCTACTTTTCAATTGACTAATATTGATTTGACGACACAAACGCGCAGCCCCGCGTGCACCCCGCGCGCGCGGGCGACGGAGCAATGGATGTCTCCGGATTACCACACAGTCGCAGTCGCAATTGCATTAACACGGTCCCGCGAGCCCGACGCCACCGTCGGCAGTCTGCGCCGTGCCGTGTCCGCTGTAAAACGACCTTTCCGCTCGGCCGCGGACAGCTCTCACCCGTTCTCTCCCCGCGGAGCTCCTGCGAAATTCGATTAATCCGCTGAAATTAGAGTCCCCCGGCTGTGTCCTGCCGCCGTGGCGCGACGGGAGGTTCCGGGATGCAGTGTTGTGCCGTGACAGCGAGATAAACAATTGCCTGATAGTCGCCTGAGACAAATCGGAACGACCTGAGACGCGAGTAGCAATTAGCGACGCGCGAGAGAAAAATCCTCCGCCTCCCTCCGGCGAATATGATTGCCGGAGTCGCGGAGGAAGAGTCAAGCGGTTGAAAAGCCGTGACGCCAATCGATGGAAAGCCAGTTACCGTCGGTCGGGAGCACTTGTCCCGCTCGCTCGTTTTGCCTTCGTTTGGAGAGCAAACGCGTTGGTCCTGCTGGGAGCGAAAGGGCGAATTGTTCGGACCGATCGCCGAGCTGCGTCTGTTCTCGGTAGGACTCGGAAGACGAAAGAGGGTCGCGTGTAGAGTGCAAAGTAGAGATACGGAGATTTCCCGCTGGAATCCTGAGCATCTGACAATCTCGAGATCGAACATTTCCACGGCGGTGTCGCTTCATTTTTTTCCCTCCCGCCGCCGAGGTGGAAGCCGGAATAACGACTGAAACGTTTGGAAACAACTTTCGTAAGAGCTCGCTCGCGCTCCATTTTCCATTTCAATCTATTTTCATCGCCGAGTAAGTTGCGCAACTTGAGAGAGTTCTCCAGGCGGCTTCTTTCCTTTTCTTAACAATTAGGAAACTTCGCGAGCCGCCGACGCCATTTCGACAGATCGGCTTGTCATTTCTCACAGAATACGCCGAGATCGACTTCCTACTCACAATGTATAAAAGTTACTTCCCGCGGAAGAAAGAGAAAAATCCAACTCGCGCTCGTCGCGTTTCGAATGTCACGCGTTCGATTGGAGCATGCGGCGGACGATTCATCTGCTAAAACGCCTCCCGCGGAAGCCTCGCTGGGGGGGGGGGGAGCGAGAGGGAGGTAGGGAGCGACCGCGGAACAAAGACGAAGCGGGGTAAAACTATAAGAGGGCGAGGGAAAACAGGGAGGAGTACCGCCATCGAAAGTAGGTACTTGGAGATATCGACCAGCCGCTCTGGACCGCTCCGTGTCCACGTTACGGTAACCATTTTCTCGTTCTCTCCTCGTCGACGAGCGGAAAAAGGCCGACTGGAACGACGTTTCCTTCGACGTCGTCGCCGGCAGTCTCGTTTACACCGACGATACTTTTCATTTCGGAGCAGCCGTTGCGCCGCGAATTCACTCCCGCTCGCGTGCGGAATAGCCGTCGAGTGACAAAGCCTGTCCCGGCATTATTCGCGCCATCGTGGCGGGGGAAGGGGGGGAGGAAAGGAGGACGGCGAAACGCCGAGGATAATAATCCGGCGGAGTCTCGGCAGCGGAGAAGCAGTCAGCCCTGTTTCTACTCGTTTCAACCCCGAGTTTCCCGAGCCGCGATATTTTCGGGATCTGTAAGGACCTCCTCAGCCTTTCTCGGAGGAACGCAGCCTAACGAGATTTCCGATAGCTCACGGATCAACGCTAGAAAGCCGCCCGGCCGAGACCGAGAGCGATGCTCGAGACGAGAAACTTGTCTCCCGTCGCATCCATAGAAACGTCCTCGCCAGGCCAATTGTGGCGGACAATAGCGACAAAGTCCGCCGGTCGATCCAATTAGAAACGGATAGTTACACGCTGCCGCGGCTAATTAATACCGAGAAGCTGCATCTGCGCTTCGCAATTAATACCTCCTCGCGCGAGTCGAGCGTTTGCGGACGAGCCGGTGTCTCATCTCGATCTGCGGCATCGAGAGGAAGCGCGCCGAATCACGAGCCTCCTCCTCGTCGTCGTCGTCGGGCTAATCGAGGATGCCGCGATTAAAGGACACGCGTGTCCGCTGATTCTAGCGCGACCTGTATCCGATCGATCGCGGGTAAACACCACGAGAGCGCGGCCGAGCACGCTTTAAATAAAAGCGGCCGTCTACCGAGACACGCTCTCTGGCCGACTCTCGGGAGATATCAGCGGTTCTTTGTCACGTCGCGCGCGCCCGCGCGCCTCGCCCCGTTCTCGACACATCCGACAGGAGGGGAAAAAAAATACCTAACGCGAGTGTACCAGGCTCGTGCGGGACACAATAAAGTCTGCGCCCCAACCCCTGAAATGCCACGTTGACAAAGGGCGGTTAAGCCCTTCTCGACGTAGACGCACCGCATACGTGTCGTCGCGCGGCTGCGGCTGCGGCCGCGGCTGCGGCTGTGCTCATCGCTGCAACGATCGGCTCGACGATGCGATTGCACCGCTGCGTACGCGCGCGCGCGCGCGCGCACGCGGCCCCGTTTTCCCGTGGAAAGCCTCATTTCCCGCGCGATTGATTCCCGGTGAGATCGCGCGCGCCTCGAGCTTGTGACCGGCATTGCATACACACGCGCGTATTATACAGGGTGGTCTGGCGGTGACGTGCGAGTCTCTCTTTCTCGTCCGAGCCGTCTGCCGCGCAAACGATCGGGCGAATCTGAGCGGAGAATTCTCATGCGGCGTTTCTCCCGGGAGCAGCCGCCGACAGGACTCTGCGTTGGAAGCTGCGATTCAGGAAGATGGCGATTCCTGCCGTCGTGATTAGGTCGCAGATTAAGTCGAGCCGGAGGGGGAAGTGCTCTGCCATTTTGCGATTAAGCGTCTGCGTCTCGCTGTTGTGAATTGCAGGAGATCGACGGATGCTGTCATGAATAATAATATACCGGTGTCCTTTAATTAATTACTGTTTGCTATTATTATTATTATTATTATTATTATATATACAGGGCGTTTAAAAATATAGCTCCGGCCTTTAAGGGCGGATTGTACGCACAAAATGGAGGAACAAAGTTCTGACAAGGTTCTGATGGATTGAAAAGTTAATATTGTCGGAGGTGTAAACAATGATTTATTTTAATTAAAGCGAGTGACTTACTTGCTTCTGCTGCACGGCCATGTGTGAAATGCATTTCCGCCATTTTTTTGATCAGAGTAATACGATGTCATTCTTACCGTATTGTGAAAACTCTGTGATGCCTTTTTGCAACGAGGTTATATAACTAACAATTGTTTGATGAAGCGTATGTATAAATGGGAAAAGAAAAACATTTATTTACATTCCGAGAGAGAGCGAAGAGACTTTTTTTAGAGATTCCCTTAAAGCACGGTACTCTCTTGACCGATAAATGACGTAGACAAATTATGTCAGAGAATACAAAAGCGCCAGAAGCGAGTATGTCGCTTGTTTTAATTGAAATAAATAATTGTTTATAACTCCTACAATATTAATTTTGCGATTCATGTTTATCAGCATTTTTTTCCTCCATTTTGTGAGCACTATCTACTCTTGAAGTCCTGAACCCTTTTTTTAACATCATGTGTAAATATTATTTATTACTATATTACTTATGTTTTATGCTATTAATTATATTATTGTTATTTAATTAACTAATAACTCGAGATCTACGAGGTTATTTGCAAAATCCCGCGGAGCTTTTTCTTCAGGCTCACCTAACCTGCAAACACACGGCGGTAGGAGTCGCAGCTCGTCTGCCGTATATCGCGCGTGATGACTGGTCAATCTTCTTTCGTCGATGACTCAAAAATACACGTGGTTGTTCGCTAAATGTCAGAAGAATTTTTTTTATTTAGCCTGACCTAATCTACGCGTACACGAGAAGTTTACATGCCGTCGTCCGACACCCTGTATGTACACACACACATGCACACGTGTATATATAGACTATCGATTGCACCGCCTAACCTTTAAGCGAGAAAAAGAGCGTGATAAGGATGAAGCCAGGTAACTCCGCCCGAGATGTTCCAGCGGCAGTCATGCTCGTCGATTAAAAGCGAATGCACCAGGTCAACTGTTACCGAAGATCGACCCCTTTGTTATCGCGTTCCCGGTAACAGTCGCGCCGCTCGTTCCAAGATCAAGCAGTGTGCTCGAAACGGAAGTTTTCCGAAATTCCGACGTCCAATCGCGAAGTTCGCACGCTTCAAATAATTCTCGCCCCTGTACTCTGCAGATATACTGTTCGACCGAAGTTGGTAACATTTGAAGTAAAATTGTAACGTATCTACAGGCGACATGAAAAATGTCGTCCCTGCGTTTCAGACGAGCAGTCTCTCGTCCCTATAATAAATAGTGATTAATAATTAAATTATAGTACTTCTGTTTCATGAACGAACGATGCGTTCAGTGAGTGAAGCGGCTTCGAGTGAATTTGTTTATCGACTCTGTTCGTGTGACGAGGAGTTGTTCGTGTGATACGTGAACTTGAAATTTTTCATTTGAAATTTTCAGTCCTCGAGTCCACTTTAATCTAACGACTGAACTAATTACTTTGCCTTTCTAATTTACTTGATCGCGCAGTCTCAATTTAATTAAGGCTTTTAATTGGGGCGATAGATTAAACAGTCGTCGTGTAATTCGAGCCTGCACGGAGCTCGGTCAAGTTTTATTATAAACAATCGTCCAGTCGATAGTGGCCGTCGCTAAAAACACACCCGTGAGTATAATACGCGCAGCGCAGGCTAAATGAGAATATCGGGTAGGGAGAGTTATATTCGGTGAAAACAATGAAAATTCGATGAGTTCGAACGTCATAATAAGCGAAAGACGGGAATAGAAATAGCTCAGTTGGCCTGCGAGCGAATCGACTTGCGGGCGCAACAGTCGGCGTTCGTTGACAATCGAAATAGGACGCGATGTAGGTTACGTGTGAAGAACGCCCAGTAACAAGAAATAACAAAGGGATCGGATCAAAAAAGATTGATTAATTAACACTGTCGAAGCAAATGCGGTAATGTGCAACGGAGTGTCGTGAAGGGAACCGTTTAAGAACGAAACCACGATCGCGCACGCGGGACGGAAGATTAAAAGTTTCACGTGTGAGTAAACGCAAATAATAAGTAAACAAATGAACGTACGGACAAACTCGTTGGAAACGAGGCAGTGAAAGAATTCAAGGACACACTTAAAGTTACCTCAGCGTGCCACGTTTCCGGTAAAGATCGTCATGGAGATTGAGGTTGTACCGTTCGTCGACAAATATAGTGCAGGCAGAAAGGACACGCTACCGCAGCGGAGTAGCAGGGTGCAAATTGTCCAGAGAAAACGGTGAGGAACGGTTGTTACCTGAACAAACGCTTTGACGACGCTTTGACACGCGAATATTCCAACGAAACTTCCGCCCGGCAGATGCGACCGATTCTTATCGCGTGTACAGCGCGCGCAGATTGACTTTCCAGACAACACAAACGTTCGGGAGACGTTCTGGAGAGACACATCCTGTCCGTCTCATCCTCCTTGTACTCAACAACCTCCGAGTCCTGCTTTTTTTTTTATTTAAAAATACATAAGTGTTATTTTAATTAAGAGGGGTATCAGATATAATGACCGTTCCGAAAGTTTAATTCAGCAGTTTCAACAGAATAAAATTAAGAAATTGTCTGAAGGAATTAACAAATGTATAAAAAATAAAAGCAAATGTTGTCGGACAAGCAAACCATCATTAGATACCTCGAGAACGTTTTGTTAAGCGACGTAGATAAAGATGAATGAAAACATTTTTGTTTTCAAGGATATTACATGCAACATATATCCTTATATAAATATATCCGCCAGCACTCGAAGGACTCGAGACATATTTCAGATGTTGTTTCAGATATGTGAAAAAACATAATTTTAATAACATTTTTTTAATTTGATGATAAAATGCGGATTATCCCAGAATTCATCTTAATCATTATTAATTACAATCACTTTTCCTCGCATCCCCAAAAATGTTTTTTCGCACCTTCGGGTGGGAATCCCCGTTCTACTTGTTAGCACGAAACGAAAATTTCCCGCTTGTCACAGTTATCGTTCGGCCAAATCGATTTGAATTCACGGTAACGAATTCGGACTTCTTATTTCAGAACGTCGCTCTTCATCATCATGAGCTTCATTTACGCGAAGCTGCTTGTGGTCGTGTGCATCGCCTACGTAATAAGCGAAGTTGTGACACACAAGCTACCCCTCTACTATTACGAGGGATTCTTCACGTACCTGTACGGCATGAGTATCGTGTTCCTGTTGTACGTTTTTTGCTTTCTCCTGCAAGAAAGCGCCTGCTGCGCCAGAGGCAGCGACACACCGCCTCCGCCGCCGAGGCCGCCCAAAGCCGGCTGGGTGCCGAAGGAGCCCAAGGATAAGATCAAGAAGAAGGATAAAAAAGAGAAGGATCAAAAACCCCCGAAGAACAAGAAGGAAACCCAGGTCCTTTGAATCTCTTTGTAAATCGTCGCGGAACGAGAGATCGATCTATCTGCACTCTCTAAATTTCTCGGGAAGTGAAATGTCATTCGGGAAGAAGAGTGATAGGCGCTCAGATTCGAATGATATTTCACTCATACCGAGTGAATTTTCTCCATCTCCATTCTGAACGATCGAGTAAATATTTCCTTTCGAAATTGCACGGTGAACCTGATGTATCACTCTCTCGCAGGAAACATTCAATCTAGTCGATTGAGAAATGTTCGCTCGTATGACTCTCTTCGAACTCGTCGATTAATTAATCGATAAGTAATTAGCACTCTCTAGTTAATTTGTTGTCTGACAATAATCCAGAGATTAATAATTCTATGTGTGTCAGCAAAGTAAGGCATTTAATAATTAATTAATAACAATTTTAAATATTAACATATTATAATAATTGATTAGTGAATCGATTTTAGACACAGCTCTTATAAGGAGAGAACATGAAGAAGAGAGTTCCACGAGCGTTGCTAAAAAAATCTCTCGATTTTTAAAATATCGTTTTTATTGGACGAAAGATTTGCAGGGTTATTTCTAAGAGTCTGTTCCGATACGAAGTGTATACAACCGTGAGTCACCGCAACAGGTTACTAATTTTATTTCGAGCGGATTTCACGGCTACGGCAATGGCATGTTTCCCATGAAATGTATTTTCGTTAGCGCGTGACACTCAGGTTACGCGGCCACTCTTGACGCTGATGTAATCGGGCCAATGGCTGTTGTCGTTTGTCTTTTATGCCAACGGTATCTCTAACGTCTTCGCTAAAAACTTCTACGGAAATTAAATCAAACGTTGACGACTCGATAGCTCCTCATTAGCACGATCAATTTTAACGAAGATCTACCCTCCGTTGTGCCTCAAGTCTCGCAATGCGAGACACTTGAAAAAGAAGCAAGACATTGATTTCAATGTTTTTGGGAAAAACCAAGTCTTCGCGATCACATGTAAATCTCGACGAGCTTACTTCCGCTCTAACCGCCGCAGGAAAGCGTGTTTGATTTCTCGAGGTACGCTTCGGATAATTTCCAAATACGAAGTCTAATAAAACGAGAGGTGATCAGCTGCGTCGGGAGAAAAGTTTCTATAACGATAAGAAAATTAAAATCAGTAGAACCCATGTATGCCATTTTATCACGTAGGAAAGGTTGAAGACGTTGCGACAAGGTCGCAAAACTCGAAAGAAAAAAATTAAATATCAATGACGTTATCATGAGAAGGATATCGCGTTTCGACAGGATGCAGCCGATGTCGAGGCCGGCGTGGCCACGCGGGCTCTGCGGAAACGAAAAACTTCACAGAACGATCACAGTCACGGGAGCTTTTTCCTCAGAATCGGCGCGATAGGTAAGCCAAACACTTTTCAACGATGCCGATACGAAGTCTATATTGCAAGGCAATTTCGATGAACTGATCACGATGTTTCGCACGATTTGTCAGCCTTCGGACTGGGTACCATGGTATACAACGGTCTGGAATTCGGCGCGTTCTTCGAGGTGCCGCCCACATCACCTTGCTATCAGATATTACAGGGTGTCAACCCGGTACTCCAAATGATCTTCACCTTCATGCAGATGTACTTCATCTTCATGAACTCCCGAGTACGTATTTGAATCGTGACGAGAAAGCTATTCGTTGTTGTTCTCTTTTATCTCGTTCATTCGTTTCATTCACTTGTTGCTTGTTTATTATTTATTTGTTATTGTATAACAATGTTATATTTATCGTTGTTAATTATTTTTTTATCATTATTTATTATTAATTATTCAATCGATTGTGTCGTTTAAGCTGTCCGTTTATCTTTTTCGTTTTCCGCCGTCCTCATTTTTTGTGCTCACGCTACTCTCTCTCTTCTTTTCGTGTGTACGTCCTTTTGACGGAAGGACGTTTTACTGTTGTTAACGAATACTATCCTTATTGAAGAAGCATGATCTGCGAATTTGACGAAAGATGAATTGTCGTCACGATGTTTCTCCGCAGTTGAACATCCACCGCTTCAAAGTCATCGCCCGCTTCGGCCTGATGCATGTGGTCGCGACCAATCTCTGCGTATGGATACGAACTCTGGTTCTGGAGAGTCTCAAGGAGATCACTCAGTACCACAAAAAACTGGGTCAGGTTCAGGCGGGGATCTTGGGTAAGCGAGATCTATTTAAAGAATCAATTGTCGCAAACATGCCACGCCGAAAGCATCAGCACGATAACGAGTCGACGTCCGATGTTTGCAGCGGTTCTCTGTTAGAACGGATTCATATCTTGGCAGAAGAGCAAAAAGGAGAACAGCAGAGGCCAAGAGAGTGACAGACGCTGATAGTCTGTCTTTCTCGCAAGAGAGACACTATCAGCGAGACTTCTGGATGCTGTCTTTCTGCTTTCTGCTTTTCTGCCAAGGTGTGAATCCTCCCTTAATATAACCCGGATGTTCTCGCACACCCGAGTATTCAAACTCACGGTCACTATTCAGATAGTCTAATTTTTGGCAAAACTTTGATCTCAAAAAAAACTTGAAAACAAGAATTTAGCGTGAAATTGTTTCTCTTGATATGAAAAATGCTCTTCTGTCAATCTGTGCATAAAAATATTGGACTAATATCAATGCAAAGAATGAACTTGCCAGACATTGGAAATTAAAGCTTCTCGCTGAGCTTACTTCAATATTTCGATACGTAAAATTACTTCAAGAAATGATAATGAGAATAAATAATTGCGTAGGGTGGTATACTTAGCGGATCGAGTATTTAGGTACCCAATAAGTAGATTGGATTAGAATACTGTAGCGAATAACCGCATTTAGTGTCCGCATTAAGATCGCATTCTGTCGTCAGAGTTTGCTGACATAACTTGACAACAGACTGGCGGCAGAAACCGCCGCAGGATCTGCACAGTTCCACTTCGATGCTTACGGAACGACAGATCCTACTCAGCCCCTCCCATCAATCTATCATCATACTTTGCTAGCAGATACCGTCCGCAGATAAAATCTGTTTCCACAAGCGTGGCTAGCTGGCTAACTCGAGAAATATCATGCCCGAATAATTGGAAAAATTGTTGAAAAATATCCCCCTCAGATAAAACTCGACATACACAAGTATCCAGAATTGGCTCCTCCAACTTGCAGAGAGCATTAAGCAACATTCAATGCGAAACGCCGGGGCGATATTGGGTACTGAGCCGCGCGATATGGCACAGTTACGAGAGGCACCTCTCACCGCCTCCTCGAGATCGACAACCATCGGGCCGATGACCACCACCAGCACGACCGTGGCTGCTTTGGGTCGTGTGATGAGAACAACAGCGAGATCAATCGCAGACGTAGTCACCACACCGACGTCCACGAGCACCACTTGGACGACCCCGTCGACGACGACACCATCGACGACCACTTTCACGCTACCCAACCTGACAACCAGCACGGCAACGACCCTGTCTACTCTTCTGACCACGTTCACGCCGACGACGACCACCACCAGCACAACCACCGAAAGGATAACCACCATCCCGACTACAACGACCACTACAACCACCACCACCACCGCCATGCCGACTACCAGCACTTTCTCGTCGCTCATTATGGAGCTGATGAATGCGCCGCAAGCTGACATGGATAACCAAGTATATATATACATATAAAAAATATAATAAATAACATTTTAAGTTATCAACTAAAAAAGATCAGGGCGAGTAGTCGCATTGCGGTAGCGATTCCTGCCGCCGTCTACTTACAGATTAGTTTAAACTGAAGAAAAAATCATCTACTGCTTTGATAACCATGCAGGTTTTTAGTTATTATAATAATTAAAAAAAGATTAACGAATGACGAAAGATTGAACGTGCAATAATGTTCTTTAATTAATAACCCAAACTTTCACTTGAAATTATTAAGTTATTAATTATTGAAGATGATTATATAGAGAGGTTCTTTTAAGTGATAACTATTGTGATTTTTGCAAAATAGTACTTGACCTTTCTTCTCAGTTTAATTTAATTAATTTTCAATTGACAATTTTTTGTTTCTAAAAGATCCCGGACACCCTGTATATTTAAACAATGCTTTCCTTACCACTAAATACTACTAAACACTATAAAGTAATAAAAAATATTGCTTTCTCAGATACTGAGACAACAATCTGAAAAATATTTATTTCTGATGGAAGATTACGTATCACATTTTTTTTTTATTTCTTCAAGTGAAATTACATTCAAAAAGCAGAATGATGAGTCTCTCGAATAGAGATGACTTCTCGCTCATGTAAAGCGAATTCACTCATTCTGAATAATCGAATAAACTTTTTCACTCAAAATTGAAAGTTGAAAGTTCAAAATTGAAGAGTGAATCTGACATACTTCGCCATTATAAATAAATAAATAAATATAATAAATAAATTTATTCTAACTGAGATATCTATTTGTATGAATTAAAATTTCATTTCACAGTTTAAATTAAACATTCGCTCTTGTGTCACTCCGAGTGGCGAGTATTTTCATTATTGCCTGAAATGAATTTGCATTTATCTCAACTTTTCGAGATGTCATTCGAATCAACATAGAGATTATAAATATAGGAGGATTGCTATTTTCAACTTGCTGTCGTACTACTTAACTAAATATATATTGCCGTTAAAATTCGGTTTAGGTACGCTCACTTTTTTATTTAATTCAAATCTCGTCGACAAAGATATAACGAACATCATTGAATAAATAAATATTAATATTCACAAGAAAATAAATATTCACAAAATTCTACAAGAGAAAGAAAAAGTCTCGCGCAAGTGACAAATGTCACTTCAAACTGAAATAATTTTCTACAGCTTCTAATAAATTCATTTCTGAAGAAGTTAAAAAGCGAACTGTAGTACATCGATCTCTTTGTCGAGCCGTTCGTTTGTAGAGCCTGCATTTTTCATGATACAACAAAGATCCTTGTGACAGCGTACAATAATTGAACCACGACTTCTTCAGGTCCCTCAGATCTTCGACGTGAGCAACCTGACGAACAGCAGCGAATTCTGGAGTCCGAACTTGGGCATCTACGCGGAAGCCTTAACGGAGGACGGTACAGTGTCCAATTCGTGCGGACGCGTCAATATCATGGGCACCATCGTCCAGGACGCTGCACCGTATTTGTTCCCGTTCATAATCGAGTACAGTCTGATCGGAGCTGCTGTAATATACGTCATGTGGAAACACATCGGTCGACATTCCCGTTGGCCTCATCAGGCCGAGGCGGACCTCGAGCGTCGTCTGGAAGCTATGCTATCCAGAAGAGCCGTCGCTCTCGCCCATGCAGGTATTTGATACTTTTCTTCTCCTAACTTCCTCATCATTTCAATTTCGAAAAGAAGAATAAGAGGTGCCAGAGTGAGACAAAGGAATTAACGATTCTTGATCCCGATTATATATATTTTTTGTTAATATCTAACTTAACTTTTGAAGTATACATTTTTCTATTGATCCGTTCTTTATGAAATTTGTATTATACAATATTTTTTTGGGTCGCTGATCATGAATCCGAGGTCAGAGTTCAAAAGTTTTGGATCCAAGATGGAGGATTCAAGATGGCGGATCAAAAATTCTCTATTAAAATAGATTGAGTTTGAAATTCGGACTTTAAGATTTTGAAGGTTGGTTGTTATGAATTAGAGATCCAAATTTTGAACCAGTGAAATTCAAAACGGCGGATTCAAGATTGCAAAATTGAAATCACAATTAGAAATACATTATTCAACTGTTGAGCTGAGAAATAATATTTGAATGTTTTAAGAACCATAGAATTTAAATTTCAGCTTCTGAAATTTCTTAAAAAAAATTAAGAAATGGCGGATTCAAACTCCGAAATTTGCTAAATTATGCATTTTATTTACGCCATTTTAGATCAGCCATTTTGAATTTTGGAATTTTGACATCGAATTTATAATCAGCGATCCAAAAAATCTTTATAATACAGTATATCAAGCAAAAGTGCTGAAAAACTCCGAAATTCGCTAAATTTATGTATTTTACTTCCGCAATTTTGGATCAGCCATTTCGAATCTCAGAATTTTGACATTAGATTTGTAATTAACGACCACAAATATCTCTGTAAACGAAGTTTCAAGCAAAAGTGTTGAAAAACCCGGTTAAAAATGAATTTTTTCTAGAAAGAATAGGTTTTTTTGCTTTTTGTTTATTTATAAAACTTTTGCAATAAATAATAAGTCCTCCTAAATTATTTTTTTATATTCTTTTATCTCTAAGATATTAGTAAAATGCAAGAAACCGATCTAAATGCGTTAATTAGATAATAAATGGTCAAAAAGTAAAGAAGTTTAGGTGGTAACGTGGGTTATTACTATGCATCAAAGGATAATCGAAGAGAACCTGTACGATCGAAACATTCCTTGATACTTTATGTAATAAATTTTGAAAAGAGGAAAATATATGACGACAATTTTGCGACGCTCGTCAAGCAGCGCGATTAGCATTCATGGGCAATATTATTTTTATTTAAAAATGGACGAAATTCATACGATAATTCGATAGTGTCAAGAAGTAATCGTCGGTAGCCTGCGGAGACAATGTCTCGTTCATCAGAGAGTACTGAATTTCCTTGTAAAGAGAGAAAAAAATTATTATCAGGTCACGCTAGAGTCGACTGCGTGGGGGCGAGCAAGGGTCTCTTCTTCGGGCTGCTGCTGCTGGTGGGCTCTCTCATATGCTTGATACTCTTCTTCGTATTAATCCATCATCCGGAGCTCGGCTTGCTCGCAATTTACCTCGCGGATGTCTCGCATTGTGTCCTGATGGCGCTGTCGATCGTCGCCATTATCGTCGGCTTCATCCGCGTGCAGAGCCTCAAGTTCAAAGCTGAGGAGCAGAGCGACCTGAACGACATCCTCCTGCGCGTCTCCGCCTTCGGCCTCTTCGTCTACGCGGTTTTCAGCGTGATCGCCGGCTCTTTGGCAGCGTTCACGCACGAGCCGAATTTGCTAGTAATGGTAACAGGATTGCTGTCGGTCGCCCAAGTAGTGTTGCAAATGTTGTTCATCGCTGACGTGTCGCGCAGGAGAGTCCACCTGCCGGAACACGACCGCAGCAAGCCTGGCAGGCAGGTCGTCACGTTCCTGCTGATCTGCAACGTGACCATGTGGGTGATTTATACGTTCGAGACTCAGAAGGTCATCGCCAATCCGGTGCAGCTCGACTTCTACGGCTTCCTCGCCTGGGCGATCGTGCAGAGGGTCACCTTGCCGCTGTGCATCTTTCATAGGTTTCATAGTGCCGTGACGTTCGCAGAGATCTGGAAGACCAGCTACAAGGCGCGTCTGGAGTAGACGAACACGGAGAATCGTCTCGTTATGGTCAATCGTCCGGAATGGTCGTCGGTTGGAGACAGAGAGAGAGAGAGAGAGAGAAACAGAGAGAGAGAGAGAGAGAGAGAGAGAGAGAGAGAGAGAGAGAGAGAGAGAGAGAAAGAAGAGAACGAGCGAGCGGGTGGTCGCTAGGTGCTCGACGATCTCGATCGCGTACATCGATTTCGGGTCTTGGTAAGGAGGCGAATGAGTCGAAGAGTGACGGCGAGATAGCTCGTTAGATGGGAGAACTGGCGAGGCAGAGAGCGGGTCGAAACCGGAATAATCAAACGTATATAGAATAGCGTGCTCGACATACCCGTTATGCACGAATGAAGAAGATAGATTGATACCCAAGTCGTTGATAATTGTTAAGAATTGGAATTCCCAAGAATCCAAGTTGCAAGTCGGAGATTTATCTAGTTGAAGCACCCTCTATCCGAAGAAAGACACTTGAGCGATACGATCAAAGTGTCGATCTTGAGCATCCTCGAAGAGGAACTTTAAGCGGTTAAATGGAACCAGACACGACATCGTGTCGAGTCACACGGATTCTTCTTCTTTCTTTCGTCCTTTCTTCTTCTACTTCTACTACCCTCTTCGCTCGGTTCCGCGTGGTACATCTACATCTCCTCTTTCTTCTTCATCTTTTCTTCCCCCCTCTTGATCTTTTCTTCTCCTTTTCATTGCGTTGTTGTCTTAGCGTTGGTCGGTAAGGTCGGCGCGAGGAGGTTACGGACGACCAATGACGTCTGGACGATCGACGACCCCGTGAAGGAATCTGACCGATCGGGCACAGGCTTTCGCCGATTTCGGCGCGGACGAAGCACAAAAAGCGACAGAGTTCTTAAAGTTTTCACGAAATCGCATTTCCTTTCACCGCGTTTCTCACACTTCAACACGCGATCTCTACATACTGCCGCCAAATTTTCTACTTTTATATGTATACATTATACAACACATATATGTACCTTCGCCCCCGCCCCTCCCCATCACGCATCACGAGCATCGTAGGCAATTCGGTTCATTCGCGCGGGAATACTTGCATTGATCCAAGAAGAAACCAATTATATTCGGCGTTTTCTTGTATTTCGCTCATTACGGATATATCGGATCGCTGTGATATGCTTTTTGCGGAGACCTCGGTGTCGGCATTGGCGACGAATCTTCTCCTTTACATTCGTACGTTCACGACGTTTGACTGACTGTTTCGTATTTTTATAAGTCGTCGATATTGTCGATAGTAGACACGAGATTAGCTTTTAAGTTGTCTTCACCGCATTTGGTTCGCACTCTCCGGTATCTCACGAGACGTTCATCGATCCAGAGCTGGAGCTCGTCGTGTCGAACGATCACCGACCGGTCCGTGCCGACGTCGGCCGAACGGACGACTTCGTTTCTCCGTCGAGATCATTCTTATGATTAGTCACACACACACACACACACACATATACGCACATGCATATACAGCATATACGATGAAGTCTCCCTCCTTAATTATCTCTATTTACATCGCGATACAGCGCGGCACAGTCACCGAGAGTGAAAACGAACGAAACTGTAATAAGAGCGGCGTACTTCGCGGTCGAAGTCCAGCCAAACGAATCTCTATGGAGACTCAACATCCAAATTTAATATAAGTACATATATATACAGGATGTTTAAAAAAGAGGGCTGAAGATCCTAAAGGCAGATAGTACTCACAAAATGGAGGAAAAAAGTCCTAACAAAACATGGGCCGAAAAATGAATATTGTCGGAGTTATGAATAATTATTTATTTTAATAAAGGCAAGTGATTTACTTGCTTCTGGTGCTTACACAATTTACAGAAGATTTTCATGACCTCCTCCGATTTCTACGCGCGTTTCACATCTACCATAGAATTGCGAAATCTTTCAAAAATTCCCGACTTTGTTTTAATTTAACAGGTATTTTATATTCATTGATATAATTCGCTTAACATTTAAATAGGTCCTTCGGTGAAAGATGGATTAGATGGGGTGAACCAGTTTCATGGCTCTCCTGATTTTAACTTCCGGGAGTTTCTTTTATGGGGATTTCTTAAGAACATGGTATACTTTTTACCGATAAATGACGTGGACAAATTATATTAGAAAATACAAGATGCCTGTCAAATAAGTAGATATAATAATTAGAACAAAGTAGGAAATTTTTTAAAGAGTTCGCAATTTTGTGGTACGAAGATGTGAAGCGTATGTAAAGAGAGAAGAGGACATGCAGAACATTTTGTGTAAACTTTGTAAACACCAGAAGCGAGTAGGTCGCTTGCTTTAACAAAAATAAATAATTGTTCATAACTCCGACAGTATTAATTTTTCGATCCATGAGGACTTTCTTCCTCCATTTTTCTACCTATCCTTAAAGTTATAAACCCTGTTTTTCAAACACCTTGTATACGTATATAATATAATATATATATATGTGTGTATCATTTCGCGGCACCCGTTCAGAGTGCATTTCGCGGACTCTTCGAGAGATCTCCGTCTCGTCGTTTCTCGCTGCGTGCCGCAGAGTACAAAAATCGTTTCTCGAACCTTTTCGAACCCCTTTACTTACGATTTTTACACGTTCGCTCTCATTGAACGCATGTCGTCGTAGACTCGCGTCTGTCGCGACCAGCTATCGGCTGTCGATCCCCTGACGACCAACGAAGCAGCAGATCGCGTTCGAATGCGACACGAGCGATTGTATATAGAGAACAAAGTAGAATGTATTTTTGTTTCAAGTTCGCCGGAAACTCCTCGAATACTGTACGCTCGTAGGAGCGTATACTCGGTTTCAACACAGTTTGAGCGCTTCCAAAGTAGCGAAAACTTCTAAGCGATGTCTTAAGCTTCTCAGGGACGAATTTGTTCAAAAGAAAGAGTTTATTTAATTTTAAAACAAAGTTGGGACATGAGACGTATGTCAGTCCTGTGACAAGATTCCCTCTTTCGTTTAGACTTCTGTAGGAAATATTTATCTATTGCACGGTTCGTTATATGTAACATTTTCGACAATTAAAACAATGTTTTAAACAATGACTGATATTGTCGATACTAGAGGAAGTTTGAATTAAAATAGCAAAATTGAGTATTTAAACGTACGAGTGTTGCATCAACATACAGGTCAGTACGACGGGTTGTCTACTCGTTTCGTTGGCAGGCGCATGTGGTCTCTCAATACGGCCTTAGTGATACCTATATCAAGTTAACCCAAATCGAAAATAAAATTTTCGACGAGGTTTCGGCACCTGTCCGGTAAATTTCGTGGAACAGTATTGCAAGACTGATATAAATGCGTAGCTTGCTGGTACCTGGTTATGGCCCACTTAGAACTTTCAGGAGGAATGGACAATGCGGGATGGTTTTATTTTCAAGTGACATCTGTTAATCATATGATGACGTTTACACTTTTCTTTTCTTTTTTGAAATTTTGTGCTATCCACAGTAATGTTAGTTATATCTTTGTAGACAATGTCTGAATTAAAGCTGAAAGATTAAACGTGTCTGAACGTTCACATACGTTATTGGTAGTCATGAAGAGAAGTTAAAAACGCTTAAAAGTATCTAGATGATATCTGAAAAAATAGAACGTTTTTGAAACGTTCTTAAGATGTCTTTAAGACGTTTTTGAAAAATTTTCGCTATCTTTTTCTTGATATATTTCGAAACGCGGTTGATGTCCAACGGGAAAATTTGTTTCTGTGTAAAAAGAACGTCCCAAGTTAGTAATAGTGTCAGAATTTTTGACAATCGTACGCGTTTCCCTTAATAAATCAACCAGTACGGGTCCAAATTTATTATAAACATATACTCTTATTCTAAATCTTATATATTATCAATTAGAACAAGTTTCGAATGAAATTAAAATCCTTAATAAACACTGAAACATCATAATTACAAGCAGACTGCTAATGGCAATAATTCGGACAGTTACTCTCCGACATTATAGAATATTAAAATCTATGCAATATATTCCTTAAAGTATCTCAGGACTGAACTATTAATATGAAAAAACAAAACTAAATCGTCGTGTCACTGAATGGCACTTTAGACATTTTTAATAAAAAGTGTTGTAAGTAAATTAGAAGCTCTTCATAAATGAAACAAAATAAAATACGACTGACATCCGAAACGTCCATAATTTTCAAGAGAATCAATTTGGTGTACTTAACTCGATATGCGTATTGTTAGTTTATTAACTTCCACGATGAACACTCACTTGATCACTAATTGGGAATTCCCAGTAGACGAGTCCTTCATTGGACATCACCTGCGTACTGCTTTCCTTGTCGAAGGCGAGAAAAACGTCCAAACTGTGTTGGAAGCAAGTGTACTTGCGATCCTGAGCGGAAGTTACGCGGCTGTAATTGCGTGTACTGAGGCGTATACGTATGCGAAATAGTGGATGCAGAAAGTCGGCAGTGACTTCGCGTGGAGAAAGGCCCGTTTTCAGCGGAGAAGGAGCCGTATGTAAGCTCGCCTTTACCACTCTGCATGAGACGTTCTACATATTTACGACGTCGTTCAAACACGCGGCCGGCGCGCGGACTTTCGATGCGAACGGCTTAATTCTTTGGGGGCGATGATGCAGCTTCGAGACGCGCGACTTCGAGACGACTTCGGACTCGCGTGATCTACACAACGCTGTACCGCACAATGGCTGCTGCCATTTTGCGTGCGTTTCTATACATTGGTGCGATGTGGTTTGATTTGTGAACTGCAGTGCCTAAGTTTTTCTCACCTTGGTAGTTTCTTTTCCGGAGGCCCTGCGCCGAAAACCCAGCGCTGACCTCCTCGGCCCCTGAAAAAATTAAGAGAACATTCGGGGGCACGGTGGTAAAGTAAAAACAAGGTAACAATAAAGCACATACACGGACTGGGAGATAGAAAGGGAACGAGAGAGAGAAAGAGAGAGAGAGAGAGAGAGAGAGAGAGAGAGAGAGAGAGAGAGAGAGAGGTGGGGTAGGAAAGGAAGAAAGGGAGAAAGGAAGAGATAGAGAGGAGCTCGCACACCAGTCATGTGAAATATAAAAGATAATTATTACTATCATTATTGATTAGTGTTTAAGCCTCTCTCGAAGAGATATCGCTCTTTCGCATTTACTTCGCTATCGATAACATACGTAGATCATTGAGAGAAAAAGCGTTTCATCGTATAGAGATTATACTTTGTAAATCCCTCCACGATCCCCGCGAAGAAACTCCCCTCTTCCTCAGGAAGCAGCACATCGAATTTTATTCAATAAAATTTATCGACTCATTGTAAATTTTATTAAATAGAATTCTCCCGCAAAGGGAGAAAGACACTGAATACACAAAACACACCTGACACCCTGACGAAAGTCATTACACGACGCAATTATAACCTTATCGACGTACTTAGCTTTCGAGTCTACATATTTTAATATTACTAGAAGTAATACAAAATAAGAAAAAAAAGAGTGTAAAACGTGAGTGCGTGGAACGAAAGAGACAAAAAGAGGGAGGGAGAGAGAGAGAGAGAGAGAGAGAGAGAGAGGGAGAGAGAGGAAGAAAGAAAGGGAAAAAGAAGGAAATATTGTTGCAGCGGAAGTTTACAGATGCAACTGTTAACAATCGATTATATATAATTATAATCCAAGAAAAATATTATCAAATAGTAAACACAGTATAAATATATATAAATATAAATATGGAAGTATATACATATATATACATATATGCATAGATATGTATATATATATATATATATATATATATATATATTACCAGGGAAAAGACTTATATTAATTTTCAAGTGCGCAACCGTAGATGGAGTGTTGCGCGCGTCGTGTAAATAATCATTCTTCGTCAGTAAACTATTGTTCAGCAGAGTGTCAGTGAAACGAGCGCCGCGTAGATTCTTAAGTTTCCATTCGTTGTCGTCGAGACGCTACGAGCTATAGCAGATAAATGTATAAGCTGATCTTTTCAAATCAAGACTGCGCGAACAAGGTCCGTAAGTCAAATCTCTACAGTCATCCAAGGAGTTGGATAGCAAGGAGGATCGGCGCACGCGCACACGAGAGTCCGCACATCTCTAACGCACGATGTGATCGTCGCGTTAGAGATGAAAGTCGTCGCAAACGCAACGATTACTCTCGCGCGCGGGAGCATTCTCCGAGGTCTTTTCACCGATGCTCTGCGCGAGTAGACGTGACAAAAACGACAAAACCATCACGACGACGACGACTTAGTGGGGGGTGGTCATCGCGAGGTTTAAGTTTATTAACAAGGCACTGCCATACCGGACCAACAAAACCGACACGAATGATGAAAGACGACGTTTAGAGAGGTGTGTGTGATTGGCGGGGGTTGGAGAGAGGGGGGAGAAGGATACACGTGTAAGCGCAGAGAGAGGGTTAGAGGGGGAGAGAGAGAGAGAGAAAGAGAGAGAGAGAGAGAGAGAGGGAGACAGAGAGACAGAGAGAAATAATAATCCTTTAACGATTTCTCACGAAGCAAAGATAATAGATGATATATAAAGCCTCCCACGTTTAACGAATGTGGAGACGTGTGCGTAGTTCCAATATATGTGTGCGTGATGTGAGAGAATGAGAGGATGCGAGAGCGAGAGCGAGAGCGAGAGAGAGAGAGAGAGAGAGAGAGAGAGAGAGAGAGATAGAGAGCGAGCGAAAGCACAATAGATTGAAAAGAAAAAAAAATGCGACAATGAGATACTGTTTTTTCTTCGGCAAACAACGTCTTTGTATACTCTATCCGTGTTGTAAGGGGAGAAACCACGATTCTTGTATATGTACATCAATATCTCGATAGTAGCCGTAAGCCTAACCAGTGAGTCACGGATTTGCGAGAACGCCAACGGATCAGACGTGGCGGGAACTCACCGAGATTGTTTGCCGATTGCAAACGCGCGGTCGTCTTTGTTCATTTATTTATTTACCGATTGGTCTCTTGCGTTTGCGCGCGCGCAGGACTTGGCGGATTTATTCGCGCAAACTCACCGCGAACGCTCGACTCGTTTTCACTCGCGGCACGTAGAGTTTTTAGTTTGCATTACGTATAATTAAATATTTATTGCACATATCATTCGCGACTTCGTGAGCCTGTTCGTGAGCAACAAACAGCTTGTAATTCCATTCCGTTCCGGCCAATCCAATCGTTCGTAATCGGTGAGATTCATCTCGTTTCTTCTCTTTCCGTTGCTTCTTTTCGCGGAGGCTCCACGACACGCTGCGTTCTGTGTTTTCCGAGACGACGGTACGTTGGTGTGTACGACAACTTTGTATAGTCCCGTGGGCCGTGAGCTGCGGGGGGCGGGGAGAGGAAAGCAGAAAAGAGGCGACGAGGATTTACATGTGTATTATGCGCGCCGGAAGCAAATCCGCGGCGCATTGTTATATTTAACATAACGTAGTGAGTTTTCGATGTCTTCGAGTATAATTACAATTTGTACACGTATAGACCACACGGGACATGCATAGAGATACATATACATACACATACATGAACACGCGCGCACAAGTAACATCACTCACGGATCCACCTGAGACACGCTATTTCGAAGAGGAAGCGAGGACAATGGGACAGGCAGAAGAACGGAAGAGAAGTTAACGTTTCGTCGAGGCAGGCGATATAATGACAGACAGTACACGAAAAAAAAAAGTAAAAATATAAATTACATGTTGTGGTGTAAGCAGTTCTTCGAATGTCGAGTAGTGACAAATACGTCTGTAAATTCATGAATTCGCTCATTCATTGATTCCTATTTTCATTGTATACCGTTAAACGAAACCAGTTTCATTGTAACCCGAGTTGCATCGGCGCGTCGTCGCCGCATCATTTGTAACAATATACGATTATATTGGTTAATAAAAGTTATCTAGACGTACATATGTGTGGCCGACGTTTTCGTCATTTTGTAACTGCTGCCGAGTCCTGTTTCAGTCTCGAGTTAGACGGCGTAATTTTTTGCGATATCATTTTATCGTTAGATCCCTATATTTTTTTATTCGTCCACGTTTCTCTTTATCTTAATATTTTTCATGATCGAATTTAAGTATCGTTCAAATTCAATACAGAATGCATAAATTATGTATGGAGTGTTTACAATCTCTCAAACATTTTTGATTTATAAGTAATTTAGGTCTCATCAATACAAAAAATAAGACTACGCCGACTGTTTTATAATTAATTAACAATTATTATACTTCGTTAATCAAAATTATAAAAATGTAATATCGAAAAAAGGAATTGACGTTCGATGATAGATTGCAAGAAAATGGATTTCTGATAAACAATTATATCTTAAAAGCAGCAAAAGGGTAACAGATTAATTTTTATTTTTATAGCTATTTAGCGTTTGATAAATCGCTGTAAAATTTATTTACAAAAATCTGTCATTAAAAGAGAGTTATTTGAAAAGTAAATACTCGCGTTAAATATTGTATATTTTTTCAAAAATAAAAATCTGTCTAATCAGAGACGAGAGTTGTGCTATAATTTCGAAAAATAGTAACGCTTCGTAAAGAAAATTTTTAAACTACACTTTAGAATAAGTCAATCCGATAAAACATTTTTTTTTTATAGATATGTACAAAAAGTTATTAGAAATTAAATCTATTTAGTAGTATAAAGTATAAAGTACAAAATTGAAAGTGTTCAAACTGAGGAAAAAACGTTTTATAAAAAATAAAATCAATTTACGGATATAATTCATTAAAATGCGACTAACGGCAGCTTTGTACCATCTAGTGGTTCAAATTCAAACCCGGTGTGCGGTTTGAGTCTTAGCTAAATAAGGTTTGAATCCTACGCAATTGTCATCAATTAAACCCGTTATAATTAGACCCGTTATTGGTTAGTTCCAAAAGTTCCGTTATGAGCCGCCACAGTCTTTAAAATAAATTCAAAGCAAAGTCGTAGTACGGCTCAACGGCAGTCAAACGAACTTTAATTTTTCGAATAATATTATACAACAGTGAGTCAGATAATTTTGTTTTATTTCTATATTATACAACTCAATACACACATACACACACTCGTGCTGTAAGCATATTAGAAGTCCATGTTTTGTTGAGTCGTATAACTTAACTACAGAAAGAGACTCAAGGAACTTTTATTTTCAAATTGAACAAACTTGTTTTGATCTTTAGTAGCATGAGATAAAGCAACAAGTTAAACAAACTTTCTTCTGTCCTCATTTGTTGACGAGAAATAAGAATTCTGCCTTTCGACCTGACAATAAGTTGTATTACTGAGAAAATAAAAATCTTAACCCGACACGCATGAATAATATCGAAGAGTTCGTTAGAAAACTTAGTAAATAAGTGTGAAAGTTGTATATGTGTGTATATATATATATATATATATATATACACATGTATATATATGTGCTCAGAGTAATTTAATAATAAAATTTAACAACATCGAATTAAAAAAGGAAAAAGGAACTCTTGGCGCAGAATAAATCGCGCTTGAGAATGTGTTTATTGTTCAGGTTAGCATTGATTTATAAACACTTCTTTTTGTATTTAATATTTACAATGGAGCTATCTGAGCTCTCACGCGAGCGATAACTCGTCCAGTGTTTAGATTCAAAGTACACCTTGCGAATAATCAACCCGGCTGAAGTTGTTAAGTCGGCTGAATTGTTAATCGTTGCATTATTAATTCGGCTCATATCGTGCCTGAGTCGCTCGAGTGTGTATGCGAGGTGAGCGAAGGACATCGTACGGATAAAATCTAATAACGCGATATTTTGTAGCATGGCATTTATATTAAAATACAAACACGATAATAATGACAGCAACGATAGAATAAAAACATGCGCTCTTTCTTAGATTCAGTGCTTGTGCTTGGATAACTTTAAAATTACTTAATAAGTGTAATAAAGATAATTTCTCCTGATTACAAACGAATCCCAATGCAATCTCGGTCTC